AGGGCAGCCGGCCCGGTCGGCGCGCGCGGATCCCGGCCGCGGGCGGGGTGTCCCGGCCCGGGGCTCGTGCGGGCGGCGCCAGGCGGGCGGCGCTCTCGCGGGCGGGCTCCGTGCCGGGGCCCGCCGCCCGTGTGTTGCCGATCCAGGGTGAGCATAGCCCTGTCGGAAGCGCTTCGTTCCCGCTGGAAGAAGCACATTTGCAGCGGTGCCCAGAATTTGTTTTGTTGGCACAACTGAAAAGAATGCCGGGCGTGGGGCTTTCCTCCAGAGCTTGCCCTGGTTTTTCTCTAAGTCGTGGCATCCCTGGCCCCTCCGTAGATTTAAAAGCCTGAAGGTGTGCTGACAGCGGTTAAGACGACACGTGCGACGTGGCTGGGGCCCCCCTGGTCCCACGTGGCGCTGCGGGGCCAGCAAGGCTCCGCACCTGGGTGGGAGAAGGGAGGTGCAGCCTGCACCCTTGGCTTCACTAGCCCTGCCTTGGCTTGGCCATCAGGTTACTGCAGAGCGAAGGCACAGTGCCCTGGCTGTGGTGCCCCAGCATGTTGCAGAATTTGACCAGCCAGCGGAAGCATTTTAGGTCTATACTGACAGATAATATATTAAATTTAAAGTAGAATCCAGCTGTTGCTGTTTTAGACTAAGAGGACTGTGAGTTATTTCGACTTCTTAATTTGAATTCTGATGGTGTGCTTTAAACCACATTCAACCAGGTGATCTTGGAGGGCAAAACAAGAATCCAGGTGTCTTTTAGGGTTCTCCACGTGTCTCCAGTCACTTTTCATCATGAGCAATACATCCTTCAAGAAGAAGAGCAAAGGGCTGAAATTTGCTGAAAAGCAACTGAAGAAGCATGGCTGGAAGAAAGGTGCGGTGAGTCACCTGCTTGGATGGACCACATAATGCCTGTGGCTAGAGCAGGGGCAGGTTTGCATGCATCACCACATGGGACAAAAGGACAGGTTCTTTTCCCATCCTAGAAAAGCTGGATTCTGTGTAAATGTGACACAATATTTATCTGTGGCACAATTCTGCAATATAAATGCATATAATTTTTCTTAAAGGTATACTTGTTTTATCAGTCATAAGAGGCATTAGAATCTATGTAGGACACTCAAATCCCAGGCCCAGACTTCTTGCCTACCTCTGTTGTTTCAAACAGGCACTCAGATCTTCATGGGTATAGAGATGAGGAGCTTGGTATAAAAAAAAGAAAATGATGTCAAGAGCTCAGTCTCTCCTAAATTCCACACCACCATTTTCTGGGATCAAACATGCTACCCTTACATGCTTTTGAGTTTCCCTTTTGAGGGGCAGAAGCGTCTTGGTTTTTCAATGGCAGCTGAGAAGGACCCAGCTTGCCGCAGTGGCAGTTCTGGGACCGGCTGAGATGAGCGCACAGCACATGCTGCCTGCTCATTGCTCCTTTCCTCAGCTAACGGCCCAGAAACAACAGTCAGGTTCTGTGATGGTTTCATATTGTGTGAACCTGGAAACGGAGTTATTTATGGGCTACTTAACTCTGCATTAACCCAACAATTGCCCATGCTTTGTTACTGGGTTAACTCTGACTTATTAATCAAAAACAGATGCAACAAGTACATGGTTTGCACACTCTTCTTCTTCCTGCAATTCCTGCATTGAACGACCCAGGAAACGCTGCCGTGCTGTGCAGACGGGGTCACAACCTTTCAGCTTGTGTGTTGACCCAGCACCACAGTGGCTTTGCGGGAGAGGCTGCTGCTCCCTGGGTTCAGTTCAGCTTCCCGGTATGGTTGGGTAAGACCCCTGCATCAAACCTGCTGGGCAGATGGGCAAGTGGTCTGACCAATAGAAGGCAGTGCTCTGGGCTCCCGGACTCTGTGCTCTGCAGCTCCTGTTCTGGCTGGGCTCCGTGAGACGGCTGCATGTAGCTTCTGCTGGACTGGATATTTGGCCTTGTGCAAAAAGTAGAGAATCTTATTTGCAACAACAGACGCAGGAGCTTTTATCTACCCCCTCTTTGTTTTTATATCCCCTGTGGCATTCTGCCCTTTAATAATGTTGTGTTGTGTTGTTTTAGGTAAAGGACTTGGGAAGCAAGAAAATGGAATCTCTGAAGCCATAAAGGTCAAAGTGAAATGTGACACAGCCGGGGTGAGGAGCACTCTTGCAACTGGTGGATCTGCAGCACGCCAAAGCCCAGCCGAGCAGAGAGGAGCGTTCCCCAGACAAGCTCCATGTTGCCCGATGTGCTTTGTGGATGGTGCATTACTCTGCATTGCTGGTTCTCTCCTTTCCTGCAATCCTACACAGACTTAAGCAGAAGTAAAGTCTGCGTTTCCGAGCATTGCCCAGCCAGTCTGGGCGGTGGGGACCGCTGGGAGTCACAGGACTTGTTTCTGTTTAAGCTTGTGTGACATTGTGCCCTGAATCGATTTTCCTTTTGAAAATGCTCAGGTTTGCTTACACTTTGTTAGTCTGAAGATTGGCGCTTCCCTTTCCTTTCTGGGAGGCTGAACCTTCCCAGAAACGAATTGCCCTTCCCTTCCTCTAATGCTGGCACATTTATAGCCTGCTTCTCTGCTAAAAAGGGTAGTTTCAAATAATACATATCTTGAGTAAATCAAATAGGTCTGTTGCTCACACAGTGGCAAGCCTGCCATGAGGTCTAGAAATCTATGTCTGTATTTATTCATAATTATTAAGTTAATATCCCACCGTTTTTCCTCTTTCAAGGAACCAAAGGGGACTAACACGTCCTCCTTTTCATATTAGCTGAAAATTGCAGAGTCATTCAGGTTCTTATCCAGCTGAACAGGAAAGGATTCAGAATGCAGAGTGCTGTGGAATGGGGGAAGACCAGGAGTGAGCGGCTTCCTCATGCGTCCAGCTTTGGGGCCCTGTCCAGTTTAGGGTAGCAGGAGTTATTACTGTCTCGAGAGCTGGGTGCGCAAGCTAGGGTTTCTGACGTCTGCCTCCGCCTGGCACAGGTGGGCCATAACTCAGCAGAGCAGTTCAGCTACCATTGGTGGGACCACCTCTTCAATTCAGCCGCCGCCAACCTTTCCATAGAGGCTGAGCAGGTAAGGATGGCGCCGGTAGACGTGGCCGCCTTTGCCTCCGTAGCACAGGAAGGCTGTCGCTGGGGAATGGGATGTGTGGGTGTCGCCCCCGGGGCTGGAGCTCTGGCAAGCTGGAGAAATACCGGCTTTAAAGAAGGGATGGGCATTCGTGAACCCTTGCGGCAGTGGCAGCCGTGGAAGAGGTCGCCTGCCTGCTGGCTGTGCGGGCTGCACCTTCCTCCTGCTGCACAGGTGCCTGTGCTGGCTGGCCACGGTGGGAGGGGTAATGCTGGGCCAGGCGGCGCCACCAATGGCCTGGGGAGCTCCGGTTCAAAAGCCTGCAGGGTGGGGGCAGCCAGTCCGTGGCGACAGTACTGGGCTAGTGCGAAAGCAGCTCTCCGCGTTCCAGACGGCGGCGTGTGCAGCTGGGCCAGCGGGAGCGATTCCCCCGCCTGGCCCACCCTGCTGGCAGAGGGCGCTCAGAGGCTGACAGGACTCACCGCAGGTGGGTTGAGAGCGCCGGCTGCCTTCCATGCTCCCCTTTTCTTTATGCAGGGTGGTGTCAGAGTGAAGGAGGTCTCTGCGCAGGCTGCACCAGTGACAAACAAGAAGCCCCGTAAAGCCCAAGGGCAGAAGAATATGCTGTACGGCCGCTTCGTAAAGGTAACGGGAGTGCAGCGGTTTATGCCCGTGGTATCGCCAAGGCTTGTCCTTGGCGGAGCCTCTGCCCTGCAGGCAGCGAGTGGTGCGCTCCGTTCCAGGCCGCAGCAGAGTGGCGTCGGGAGGGTCCCTTGCCTGTTGGAATAGGGAACAGGAGTCATCTTGAACCGGGGTACAAGATCTCAGCGTGACTCCTTAAATGCCAAAAGGAAGCGAGTGTAAATCCAGCATGTGCAGGGTCTCAGCCTCAGTCTAGAGGATCTGGGGAGCAGCAGCAGGCTGGACGGAGGAAACGACAGGCACTAGTAGTCTGGATTCATGGAAGGCTCCCAGTTGTCTGCCTGCCATCACGGCCCCCACCCCACCCCACCCCACCCAATTCTTTCATCTTCTCCCCAGCTTGCTTTCAGCATGGGGGTTCCAAGCCCCCCCCCCCCCCCGGTATTTACCCCTCCGAATGAGGAGTGGGTGTGAGAACTCCCTGCCCCCCTACTTACCCCATACTGCCAAAACTCGGGCTGAGGCCCTCATGAAATGGAGGATTCAGGACAAGCAAAAGGGGTCCTCCTCCCAGCGGATCATCTTCGCAGCACATGGGGAAGGACATCAGCGGCCACTAACCATGCTGGCTTTGTGGAACCTCTGTGGCCAGGAGCAGCTTACCCCTGAACAGCAGCTGTGCAGGACAACAGGCGGCAAAGGACTGTTCCCTCCCTTCCCTCCTGCCCCGTTCATGGGCTTTCTGACGTTGCAGCTCAGCTTCCTTGTCTCGGGCTCGTCTGACTCCCAGGCATGTGGGCCGGCACATGCTTTTGCTCTCCTCCGCTGCCGCTTGCCCAGCCAACCTTGCTGGGCAGGGGGCACCTGCAGCAAGAGCCGATCCTGGGCCCATCCTTGCCTCCTTCCAGGCAGCCACACTGACATCTGGCGGAGAGGAATCCTTGAACCCAGTTCACCCTTCAGACAGCAGTGATGAGGATGACAGACTGGACTTGTCCACAGCTAGGAGGTAATGGGCAGGATTTGGTGGCTGGGGCGCAGTCCGGCCGCCCGTGAGTGCCAGCAGTCTTGCGCAGGATTGCCTGCTTTGGAGGCCCGAGAAGTGGCTGCAAGCTCTGGCGACCGGGCAGACCGCTCTGTTCCACTCTCTTACAGGCTGACTGATGAAGAGCTGGTCCAGGCGTGTGGAGGAAGAACAGCCCATAAGTGAGTGTGGGGCTCTGGCCAGCATGTACATCCCCGACTCCCCGGGGGGGCTCTGCTTTAATGGGGCCACAGGCCAGTGTGTAACGGCAGCCAGCTTTGCGGTGGTGGTGGGCTGCCCCCGAGGACCAGGGGCTGGATAGGGAGGGCGAGGGAGGCAAGCATGACAGGTGACCGCCTTAAATGGGCCACCGGCACATTCCCCCCACAATGTGCTGCTGCCACCAGAACCCTCCATGAAAGGGTTGGTGGGCTAGCCACTGGGCAGTACTGTTGTGCTGCTTGACCTCTGGGGCACCAACTAGCCTCTGATCCCCAAAGTTAGGAACTTCATGTCCTGGGGGTCTGCATGAGGACTCCCTTGTGAGATGTTGCGTTGTCTGCAGGGGGGCTCGGCATGGCTTGACCATGGCTGCCAAGTTGGCACGGCTAGAGGAGCAGGAAAAGGCTTATTTGGCAAGTCGCTTCCAGCAGCAGCAGCAGGCAGCACCCACTCAGGCTGCCCTGAATGGTGGCAGACGCACCAGCCCCAGGAGGAAACGGGAGAGTGCCAAGCAGAGCAAAAGGAGAGGTGGGGGTGCCACGCCTCAGAACAGCCTTGAGCTGATGGGAGAGGACAGTCCTTGTGAAGGGCAAGAGGAGGAAGCTCCTAGGAAGAAGAAGAGGAAGAAGAGGAGGAAGGAAAAGCCACAGGAGGATGGAGGGAGTGAGCCAGAGGAGCGGCAGGTGGAAGCCACAGGACCCGAAGACAGAGGGACTCCAACTACCAGGCCCAGGCAGAGGAAGGCAAAGAGGAAAGCGGAGTGAGGGGACTGGGCCAGCATCTGGGCCAAAGTGCTCGGAGCCACATGCCTGCCAGACCCTGTCGCAGCAATCCCAGGAGTGGAGGCTCTCTGCGTGAACTGCTCTCCACCCACTTCTGCTCCTTTTGGGAAGAGACTGGCTGGCTCTTTCTCCTTTTTACTTAAAGAAACCAAAACCTGCTAAGGGGGGAGGTGGGAATGGCAAATGCAGAGAGAGGGTACGATGCTTAAATACAGAGATGCTGTATGGATAAACGTTCCTTAACGGAGTGTGCTTGTCTTCAGCCAAGGCCCGCCTTCTTTCCTGCAGTGGTCGCCCAGTTACCGGCAGTCCAAAAGCGGAAGCTCTGGCAGCTGCTCCCCCCCCCCCAGAAACCGCTGATCAGAGGTGGCTCGGGGGGGGGGTGAGAAGAGGCGGCCTCTCGGCCTGACTTTCCTTCTCGGGGAGGCAGTTGCCTGCCTGTGCTGGACTGCTTCTGGCCTGGGGGAGTCCGCACATTCGCAGCATGTCCTGCAGAAAGATAAAACCGTTCTCCAAAGCCATGTCATGCTGGAGCTCCACCCCTTCTCTGCATCTCACATGCGCAAGCATAAGATTCAGCTCACTGGTGTGGCACTGAACCGCTAAAGAAGGGGGTACCTGGTGTGTTTGTGTCAAACTGCTCATCTAAATAGTGCCCAGTAAGTACCACAGCTAAGCAGATGTAGAGTTTGCCTTTAAAAATAGAACCAAATTCTTTTTATAGGTATAATACATATTTTTATTGAAGGAGGACAAAGCCCTCTTGGTGTCTTAAGACAGTGTGCCAGGTTTTGTTCCAAACCCAGCAAACAGCTGCTGCTTTGCTCAGGCTTCAAGGGGAAACAGAGACAGGTGCCCCCAGAGAGCCCCTCTTGGGCTCGAGCCATCTCTGCAGGTTGCCCTGAGACAAGCTCTCCCCCGCAACCGGATTTATCCAGAGAAGCTTTTAGAGTTAGATTTGCCTTGGCCACTTATGGGGCAGGGTCTTTGCAGATGGAGGGCACTTGGGCTGGGCTCACTTCTAGGAAAGACGCAGGACACAGTCTGTGTCTGGGTAGGGAGGAAGGTTCAGTGAGTGCTTCTTCTGCAGGGCTGCAGGCACAAACCTGCCCCCAAGGAAGTGGTAGCGGCCTGTGAACAGCTTCGCTGCCTTCTTTGGTGCAGTGAGGGATATCAGCATGTCTGGCTGCAGCCCGTGCGGGTTGCCTTTCTCCACATCCCAGCCTGAAAACAAAAAGGGAACATGTAAGAGAAGGGAGAAGTTTTGGAAAGCAGCCTTCCCCAGCCTGGGGCACTTCTGACTGCCAACTGCTGCTGTCCTGGAGCCGAAGGACTCCCACTGGGGGACACCTACGTGGAAGAGCTCTTTGCAGAGTAAAAAGAACAGGATTTCTTGCAAGGATAATTTGCAAATCATGATACATGTGCAGCACTTTGAATGCTCTTAAGTGCTTTATGTACATTGTCTTGTAATCCTTACAATCATCTAGCTCCATATTGCAAATGGGGGTGAGGAAAAGATGGGGCAGAGCGTGCATGGGGGGCTGGCACTTGCCGGGTCGATTTGTGGCTGAGGGAAAACCTGGACAGAAGAGGAAAACGAGGTCTTCCTCCGGGAACTGAAACCACAAAAGGTGAACTGAATTTTAAGTATACAACCATCTAATGCAGAGGGTCCTTGGGCTAATCAGGACATAAACAGGCCACCTCTGAAAAATCCAGGTTAATCTGACCTCTCCCAAATTACAGAGCTGGAAACCCACCATATTTTTGAAAGACCAACACTGATCAGGCCAGGCCTGAAGCCCCTTCTCCGGGGCTGCCCTGAGGCAGAATCCAGAGCAGCGAACTCCCGATCTCGTCGGGGCCTGTACAGTTATTAAACCCAACACCCTCCCATTCCAACCCGTTTGGCCAGTTGTCAGGGATAACGGGGGTGGTGGCCTGCCATGTCTTCCTGGACTGCAGGTTCCCCAGTCTGATGTAGAGGCATCCAGTGGGTACTGGCCTCCCTTTTTCAGCAGTCTTTAAAAATCTGGGTCTTGAAAGCGTGTCATTAACATCTGTAACAACCTGGGTCGGGGAGAATTAGTTCTTTAGCCCCACTGTTAATCATTTGGGCTTTTCAGATAGTTGTAAATCTTGCTGATGGATGCAGTCTGTTCACCACCTTGAATTCTCTTTTAGGGAGAAAGGCAAGATTTACACTTTTACCATTAATACTGCACCACACAAATACGGAAGCAGCAGCAACTAAACTTACCAGATGGGATATCAATGCTCGCTATGGGGACAGTGACCTTCTCCAATGTGTCCAGGATAGTACCAAAGGGTTCCCGGACAGCCCCTTGGAAGCTGAACCCAAAAATAGCATCCACCACCAGGCCGTAGACCTCGTTGATCAGGGCAGCCTGCCAGTGAAACAAGAGCCCGGTAGCATGCAAGATGGGCTGTGACGGATCACCGACATGCACTTTTAGTGGGCTGTGAAGACGGGCGTTCTTCAACAGCACATCAACACACATCAAATGCAGCAAGTTACAGAGGGCCATACCATGCATCCAGAAGCATCTGAAAGCAGTTTAAATAGAGGCAGGAAATAACCCTTGTTTGCAAACCCATTTAAGGGTCCAAAGTGTTTCAAGCCAAAAATAGTCTTTCACTCTGGGACGAGCAACGGGACTACAAAAGTTGCTACTTTCCCACCCCTCTCCCTGGATCCAGCCGTCCCTGCTTGTTCGGAGGTCTGCCTTATTTTGCCCTACACCACCAGCAGCCTGAGATCAGCGGGTGCTCTGGGGCAGCCCCAGGCAGGCCTGCATCTCTCCCACTGATGCAAGGGAGGCTCCCAAGGACAGAAGGGTGGGCGCTGCGGAAAACGAAGGAGCTGGCAGACGAGGAGGCGGCAGCAGAGTCACCTACACGATGTGCCTTTGCTATTCTATTACACACCAGACTGCTTAATTGAAGAGCTACTTGATTACACCAGAGCAACAGAGCCAAAATGTACACTCACTGACCTGGGAATTCTATTATTCTACATTGCACTCCTTTATCGCCCATAGCTGAAGTTCTCTGGGCCGTTTACACTTGGATGCCAGGAAGTCCTTCCTGACAGTTAGGACTCCCAGGGCATGGAGTGGGCTTCCACGGGAGGTGGCTGAAGCCCCACCGGTGGGAGTGTTCAAGGACAGGCTGGACATGCACATGGTAAGCATGTCATGGGGTCAGACTAGATGGCCCGGGAGGCCCCTTCTGGCTCACGCTGTTTCTATCTTTCTACAGCTCACTGCATTCCAGGTCTGTCTCCTGGCCAGGCATGCACAGGACTGTGCTGGAGACCTCTGCCCTCTCCCAGGTGCCTTATTCTCTCTGCTTGCTTATGCCTCCCTCCCCACGTGGGACCCCCACATCCGTTTCATTCTTTGCGTGGCCTCTGCGCATCGCATTCAGGAAGATTCCTCTGGCTAAGCCTGGAAGTTTTGGTGGCTGCCTGTCCCATTTCCCTGTTATATAAATAGCCTGGCTCCCACCATTTCCTCAGTTCACTTTCGACCGCCGTTTGAGTGCCTCGGGATCTATAGCTCCTTTCATAGCCTTTTACCTCACAGAATCTCACATCTCTAACTCTCATTCTTACTCTTTTTCTTCATAATCCGCTGAGACCTTTTCTCTCTCCACCTTCACTAATTCCCCATTTTCACAACCCCTCTCCCTTTCTACCTCATCTCTTCACAAAAGATTTCCCCCGCTCCCCACATGGAACCATTCACATCAATTTCATTATCTTAGCCATATCATTTTTGCAAGTTACAAGCATCTAGAAAGCAGTAAAGTTGGCTTCCTGTATTTGGTGGCTAATATGTTTGCTACAGCCGGTGAAGAGAAATACATTTCTTTCTGTCTTGACTCGATTTAACACACGGAGCTCTGGGTTGAATGGAGGGAGGGCTCCCTACCTCTGATGGAAACTCCGAGAGGAAAGGGATGTCCATTTTCTTGCATTGTGTGGTTAAACCTTCAAAAAGTGGCTTGTTGGGGCGTTTGGGGTAATACACAGTTGGCTCATAGCCCTGCAAAAAAGAAAGGCAGCTAATGTAAGGCTCACAATTTATCTTTTATTATTATTGTATTTCTATACTTCCCTATTGCCTAAAGGGCTCTCTGGGTGGTGTACAATAAAAGCATGAGCAGACAGTAATAAAAACAACAAAATCAACAGTACAAGAATAAAATCCGTCAGTCTATCCTGATTTGCCTCAAAAGCAAAAGTCAGGATGCTAATACCTTTTATCCAGCAAGAAGTCCTAAATGGTGGAGAATAAATCTATGCCACAAAAAGGAGTGTGCTTTTCATCTGGAGCCTCGCGGTTCAGAGGCAGCCCCACTCAGACAGTCATCTGCTAGGGCTGGAACTGGCAACGCTTGGACAGCTTCAAGGGCTGCTTTAAGGGCTGCCTGTCCTGAGCCAGGAGCAGCGAGGGGTGCTCACCCAGCCCACAGATGCGGCTCAGTCCCTTCAGCGAGGACTGCCACAGGCAGGCAACATCCCTACACTCAGCCATTTGCTGGTTTCTGAGGTCACCCTCCCCAGCCTTTCAGTTTTTGTATTTCACATTTATTTCTGCTAAATTAGCGGAGACAATACCAACAACAATGTTATAGAGGTACCAGTTTCCTCTAATTGGTACTAGCTAGGACCCATCCTGAGTACCACGTGCAATTCTGGGCAACACGCTGCAAGAAAGATACAGGTGGACTGGAAGAAGTTCAGAGAAGGGCAACAAAGATGATCAGGGAGCTGGAAACAAAGTCCTGTGAGACTGAAAGAGTTGGGCATGTTTAGCCTTGAAAAGACCAAGGGCAGAGAGAATAGCATGTTTCAAATACAGGCTGTCCCCAGGTTACAAACAAGTTCCATTCCTGAGAAAATTGAAATTTGTCTTTAACTTGAATCTTTAAGTCAGATCATGTATAGTTGGCTCTCCATATTCACAGAGGGCAGGGGCACAGAACCCCCATGAAAGTGGAAAAACCGCAAATTTCTCTAGCCCCCATGGAAATGCCAAAGGGATTTCCCTTCTTGGATGTGCAAGGGAGGAAAGCATGCTTTGGAGGCCCTCCCTCTCTCCCCCTTCGCTTCCTCTCTCTCTATGGTGATGACAATTTCCTGCAGTAATTTTTTAAAAATTAAACATAATGTAAACCCTCTTGAGAGTCAGTCAACTAAAGGAACAGTACAAATGCTTTAAAATAAAATTCAATAAAAATAATAGGTTTGAATTAATTAATTAATCAATCAAATTTATATTCTGCTATAGTGGCCTGAGGGGCCTCAGGGCAGATTTATGGAATTTTGTTCACAAGTACCAGCTGTTTGTAACTCAGACATTTGCAACTTGGGGATCCCTTGTAGCTGAAAGGCTTTCACACTGCGGAAGGCCAGGATCTCTTCCCAACCATTCCAGCAGGCAGGACACAGAGTAACGGGTTCAAGTTCCAGGAAGCCACATTCTGACCGAACATCAGGCAAAGCCTCCTGGCTGTTAGAGCAGTGAGGCAATGGACCCACGTATATGGGCTTTCCCACTGGAGGCAGCTGGACAGACATCTTTCAGAGCTGCCTTAACAGCACTGGGCAGGAATTTGGGCTCAATTGCCTCTACTATGGTTCCACTGCATCTCATTAAGTTTTGGTGCAGTTTTCCTGCCTGTCAAAATAATTTTGAATAGTGTTGATGTAAACCAGTCTCTCATTTTTAAAATGTACTGTTTCCAAGCTACTTCCTCCTTCCCATACACAACGCTGCAGTACAGAATACCATCTGAATAGGCCAGCTACTTTAAATGCTTTCTTTTTAAAAACAGATGTCTCACACGAAAAAGACCCAAAGAGGAGGCCCAGTGCGCAAGTCTTTTTGTTGAAAGTACTCATCTGGGACAAGCAGCTGGAAGTCCCATCACACCAGCCAAGAAAACCCTGTTGGAAGAGAAGAGCCTTACAAAGAGGCCAAATGTCGAGACTGTGGGGCAGAAGGCAGATCTTAACATGCCTTGGACCAACACCGAGAAGCTCCCGCCTGCACAGTCCCCGGTTAGGATGCCGAGAGCTGAAGTTCAATCTTGCCTGGCGATCTGCCTGCTGCCCACCCTGATCTAGACAGTGGGGAGTGCTTTTCCCCGGCTTGTGAATTCGTTGATGCGTTACTGTCTCTCCCTACGCCCAATTCCGGTCCCTCTGTGGATCAGCCGATACTGTGGCAAAGGCACAGTTTGCAGGGCTGTAGTGATTAGCTAATTCATTGGTTGGATGGATCTTTCAAAAAGCTCTTGATTAACTAAAAAGTCATCCCTAATTTTCCATTCCCTTTAATATAAGTATTTTCAATGAACACCAATGGGATTTGCTGCCTTTGCTCACGCGCACACACAAGGAGGAAGCAGAAGCAGCACCTTCTGGGTTACCAGCAGCCTTCCGGTGATGCCTGTACTTCCTGGCCTTTACTACTATTGGTCCACAGTTCAGCAGTAATTTAAATGCTTGCTTTCATCATTGCATACCGCAGTACCCAGCTAAGTTCAACTGTATGTCAGAATAAGGCATCACTCACAAATGTGCCCTGAATTAAAAAGGAGTCAATCACTCACAAACATTTTCAGGTGCCGGGCGCAAACCAGACCATCTCCTCCGTTGTTCCCAGGGCCACACACAATCAATACGGCCGGGGGACTGATAGTGAAGGAGCTGCTTGGGTATGCCTTGGAGTAGAAAGAGAAAACAGATCAGCAATTTTCAGCATGCAGGCAAATTCCCTGGACACACAGAAAGCCTGCAGGCTCTGGGACTCAGCTAAGAATCCTATCAGTATCCTTAAAATCTCACATTTAATTAAAAAGAAAAAAGAGTAACATTATAGTGACTGAATATTAAGAACTGAAAACCTAAGTCTCTGAAGTCTCCTTAGAGGAGCACATTTACATGGTAAATAAGATTAGCAGAGCCTGGGAGAAGGACTTCCACATCTGTCTCTTATCCATCACTCTCAAAAGCTGAATTTATTATCCACAACTACATATTCAGTTTTTATTGTCCTTCTTAAATCCTGCCTCCCTTCTACAATTCCAATTTGCTTTATTTGGACAATTTATTCTGGTTGCAGAGTTGCATTTTTCTAGGCACAGATGACACAAGAATACATATTCACATTTCAAATACCCGGAATACTGTTTAAACAGAACAAAGTCTTAAAATGGTACATGTAAACTCCGAGTGTTCCACTGCTTTACTTGTTTCGATTTTAGCAACTTGTTTGTTAAAAGAATTGTTAGAAGCAATTTATAATTGTTAAAAGATACAACAGGCGGTCACTTACTGTCCCAGCATCAGATGGAATCCTGCTGTGAGGAACAGGCTGTTCACACTGAACAACAAGCCAATAATCCAGCATTTTCCTTATATCCTATGGACTTTGGTCAAAATCCATTCTTAGTTAACTTTGGTACTATAATCCCAGTCTGAAGTCAAAGGGACTTAAAAATACTTAATCTGGGCTGCGCAACTGAGAATTCAGAGGAGGCCTAGATTAGCCTCTCATGCCACAGTTATGCCCCAACCTCCATTTTGTCCCAAACCTCCTCCACCTGTGCAAGTCGCACACCGCCCCCACCCAATGCCGCCCATAGCACCTGCCAGGTACCACCTACCTTGGCAATGGCTGTGGCACAGCTCAGCCCAGCCAGCTCCATCAGCTGGTCAACACTGAATTTGTACTCATCGAACAGTTCTTGGTCTATGGCCTGAGCTTCCTCCTGGCTGTAGAGAAGGAACTCCTGTTACCGCCTCACCTTACACGGCAGGGCAGCCCTGGGAGGGCTTCCGCTGACACGGGCTTCTGGCCGAGCAGTCCCTGGCGCTCGGCCCCCGCCCCCCGCCATGGCCCCTCGCAACGTGCTACGCCTCTTCCGCCTGGCTCATCTGAAGGCGCGTTTTGCTTGCTCCACGTTTGTCCTCCGTGCCTACCAGCAGCGAAGAGCAGCGGCTTGGCCAGGAGTGACCGAGTTGCGGGGGTCCCAGCTGCCACGCAAGACACCGGCACGACCCCACGGCTAAATGTGCCCTCCTGGGATGTGGGGGATTTGTGCCCCGTGGGGGCTGCCGCATCTGTGGCGTCAGAGCGCCCGATCATCCACATGGGGAGCCTGAGCGTGGGTCGTGGGGGGGGCTGGGGGGTTCAAACAAGGCCGAATCAGCAAAGCGAGGCGACCGACCCACCGCGCGCATCCCCGGAACGAGCGCGCGTTCTTAAAGGCTGCTCACGGTTCACCAGCGCCGCAACCATGCTTCGACAACCCACGCGGGGGACATGAGTGGGGTCGATCCCGTGGTCCGAACCGGCCCGGACGAGGCAGGTTCCGGTTCCGGTTCCGGAGCCGAGCGGGGCGTCCTCGCTCACACAAGCCCTTGCTCAGCCGCCCTTTCCGGAGGGTCTCTGGCAGCTCCTGGCTCGTGCGCCCCGCATTTCCGCGGGCACGTCCCGGCGCGACCGCGAAGCCCCCCCCCCTCGCCCGCTCGGCGCGACACGGGTGCCAGCGCACGCGTGAAACGCTGAAGGGCCCCGCGGCCTCCGAGACCCCAGTTCCCCGGCGGCGGCCCGGCTCGAGGGCGAGCGCGTTTCCGGGCTGCCCGCGCAGGGGCCTCCGCGGAGCCCGCGGCGGCAGGCCGGAGCCGGGACCGGGACCGGGACCGGCTGCGGGCGGAGCAGGGCGCGGCGGAGGCCCGCACGGCCGGCGCGCCGTACCTGAGGAGCTTGGGCCCGGGCGCGGCGCTCTGCATGCTGGCGGCGGCGGTGCGGAGGAGCGGCCAGGGCCGGGCCGAGCAGCGCCCCGCGGACGCCGACGCCGACGCCGCGGCCCGCGAGAGCAGCAAGCCGAGTCCCAGCACGGCCAGCCTGCGCGGCGCGGACATGCGATGCGGCGCGGCTCGGCTCGGCGGGCGAGGAGGCGCGGCGCCCCGAAGGCAGGGCGGCGCGGCGCGGCCCGGCCCGGCCCCCGGCCAGGCGCGCCTCTGCGCACGCGCGGAGCTCTGGGCTCGAGGCCGCGCGGGGAGCCGAGGCTGCTGGGAAGAAGTGTCCCCGTGCCGTGGGGAGAAACCGCCGGGTTACTCTTCGGTCGAGGGAATTCGGACGTTCCTCATTTGCACGTGTGAAAGTCTTGTGTCAGGCAAGCCTTGACACTGAGCGTTAGATACGTTTGCCCCAGTCTGCTCTTCCACACAGAAAGGGAGGGCTTGGTTCAACCCTGTCTGGGCTGCACCCGACACACTCGGCTCCGCTAAGCGTTTGGGGGACGCAGAGCGCCGGCCGCACCCGCCTCCTCTGAAGAGTGGCTCTGAGCGCTGGAAACGACCGGCCTGAACCGCTCAAAGTTGTTTGATAGAGGGGCCATACATTATTTCAGAAAGTATGAGAACATACTTAAATATATTGTATGTGTGCTTTTAATGAGCTTGATTCATAAGTGAAATTATTTTAATATAAAAAGGATCCACTTTAGTTTTTAAAATAACAAGTATTTGTAATAACGTGTTTATTTCATCTTTCAAATGGGTGATTTTTAAAACTGCACCTTGATTAATATTTGGCTTCAAGTGAACTTACGCTTGAGGTTAGCTCCAGTTACCCACCCTTGCCTCAAAGTGAGCAGCCCCAGTTCCCTCATACTGTTCTCACCAAAAAGATTCTCGCTCACCTTTGTAGCCATCTCAAGATGTTTCCTAATAGTCTTCTTAAACTCGTAGCCCAGAAAAGAACATGGTACTCCATCCCAGAGTAGCTTTCTGCCTGCCCTGGGAGCACAGCATGTGGCCTGCAAGCATACCTGACACTGGCGGGTTAGGCAGGTGCCGGCCGCTTGGGGTGCAGGGAAATTGCGAGTCCTTGCTCAGCCCCTCGGTGTCTTCGAGGAGGAACGGCCCCAGTCGCACGGAAGGGCACTCTGATCCTTCTCTGCAGAAGAGAGGGCATGCGAATGGGGGGGGGGGGGCGCCGTGTCTCCCCAGGCAGTCTCTTTGCAGCTGGGCTCACTTCTGACCCTGGAGCCGTCACAGCAAAGGGTCTGGGCGAGGGGCTCTGAAGAGAAGAAGCATCCCCACAAGGAGAACGGGGTTGGCGCCTCTCACCTGTTCCAGTATCCCAGTTCCTTCTTTCTGTGTGCTTCTGTAAGGAATAAAATCCAAGCAGTGACGATATGGGAGGCAAAGTACCAAGGAGTAACAGTTTAATATGTTCTTGCAAGAGCGGGCGCCCACCACACAGGCAGCGCGCCATTTCCACAAAAGACATTGCCTTGTATTCCCTTTTCCCGGCTCGCAGACCCTGCCTCTTGTCTCCCACTGGCTGGGTTACTAAGAAGTCACAATCTTCTCCATCTGATTACATCATACTACCCCTCGATATGTTCCCCCTCCTGCTCATACATCCCATGTTCATGCTAATGAGCCCATTACCTATGAGAGGTGTGTCAGTTCCTATTCATGAACCTATTAAGCGTGCACACTACCTTCTAAGAGTTCAACAGGTCGGCTTGGCCTTGTGGCCTCTCACTTGATGCCCACTTATTCCCTAAATCTTGTGGGAGGATGAGATCAGACGAACAGGCTCATTATAGCCAGTTGTAAAAGGCAATCAATTTCCTGCTCTCTTCCACTAAAGGTGACAGTTTTACCACTGCACCCCAACTTCACCCCCCTTGTGTTCTTCAGGACTTTGTTGTAAGAAGCACTATTACTTTTATTACAACTATCTACATGGTTCTATCCTCAGGCCCTTTGGCCTTAAGAGGTTTCAATGATCCTACCCTAGCCCTTTATCTCACCCTTAGTAACAGTAATTTTTCATTTCTCACAGTTCTACTCATGCACAGCTGCCATGACTGGCTTGGCCCCCAAAAGGATGGCCAGCGGCCAGGCTGTGGCCTCTGTCTCTTTTGTGGGGTGGGGACTGCTGGTGCTCATTGCATGGGTTCACCACTCCCCTTTGAATCGGGCCCCACTGCGGACCACCCTTTCCCCACTAGCCACACCCATGTTGAACGAGCCCCCATATCCAAGCATTCAGTACACTGGGAGCGGCAAGAAGCTGCAACGTGTTGCCAGCCCAGAAATGCTTCCTGCAGCATGTGGCGCACCAGGGGGGGCAGGGGGCATAAAAGGCACCACGGCCTGCTCCCATGCAGCCCCGACGCTGATACCAAAACAGAGCGGGGCCTGGCAGGGCCTCATGGAGGGGCGCTGCTGGCTCTCCTAACCCAGTGCTGGAACCCGTGTGCTGACTGCGCAACCTTGCTTTGGCAGTTGGCAATGACTGGCCTGTTATGAAGCCAGCCAGCCAACCGCTAGATGAAAAAGGGCTGCACCTCTTTCCTTCACACAGAAGGCCATAAAACGTGGGGCTTCGGTGGGGGTCCCAGTAGAGCTTTGTTCGTGTATTGAGCCTGTGCTGTAAAATCCTGGCCTGCGTCTCTGCCCATGAAAGCTCAGGCCTTCTTAGCATGAGTGAAATGCTGCCCCATTGCTACCTTGTTTAGCTCACCAGGTGTTGTTTTCCAAAGGTGCTGACATGCAGCCGTCCTCTGTTTTGAGAGAATGCCCCTTATCCTATGCTACTGATGAACTTATGCCTTGCTGTTTGCTTAGTTTAATCAGCTCATACTGCGTGTTACGGGAGTCTTGACAGGCACTTGTTCTGGGTGTCCTAGGTGTTAAGGCCACTCAGGAGAATGGGCATCATACAGAATCATAGAATGGTAGAGTTGGAAGGGGCCACGAAGGCCATCGGGTCCAGCCCCCTGCTGTTGCAGGACACCACGTTACACCATCCCACTCAGAGGGCTGCCCAGGTTCTTTGTGAATGTGGGAGAGCCCTCCAGTTCTCTAGGCAACTGGTTCCACTGTCTTGCTCTGACAGTGAGGAAAGTCTAGCCTGAATCTGGGTTGCCACAACCTGAACTGATTATTCCTCATCCTACACTCTGGTATCAGCAAGAAGGGATCTTGGCCTTCCTCTTTGTGGTAGCCTTTGGGGTGCCGTGGAGTGTTATGATGGGAAGTTTCATATAGTAAATATTTGGGCTTGCTAACAAAATAAAGAAAGAAGAAAGAAAGCTGGCCATTTCCCGTTTTGTCTTGTGCGGACACCAAATGCCCTCAGGGGCTCTGTCAGCTGCCCATTCCAGCTAACTGGAGCCTGCCTGGCAGGCGAGTATTGTAAAGGATGTGAGCATTGTAAAGGACGTGCTGCCAAACGCTGACCTGAACGCTGGCTCACTTGTCTCTTGTGCACAGTAAAGGACTTTCCTCCTTGTAAGTAAACCAGGACCTGGCGTATCGATTCTTTAGAGTCACTCTGACCTTTAGCCCACAGACTCTCTGGTGTGCAGAAAGTGGGCTGAGAGAAGGTTAACCCTTGCAGGATGTCGGCGCTGAAATTGGTGATAGGTTCAGGACAGGCTAAAGGAAATCCTTTGACAGCAAATACATCATTAACAGACAGGATTCATTGCCACCAGAAGTAATGACAGCCACTAGCTGCGAGGGCAAAAGGAGGAGCAGAGTCATGAGAGATAAGCTGTCAGTGTCTAACCATCAAGGTGATGATGTGAACCCCCCTGCCTGAGACAGAATACTTCCTGAGGACCAGCTGCTTGGAGGCAACGGGGGGAAGAAGCCAGCTGCCCACGTGTGGGCTTCCTGGGAGAGCGGGATGGTCAGCAGAGGACTTGCCCTTCGGTGGTGGACGGTCCTGTTTTCCTTTTCGGCAGAGTGATCGTCAATTGACAACGGGCGCTCGAACACCTCTGTGGATGCGCTGGTGCCATGAGAGTGCTGGCCAGGGAGGGTGCCTGGCATAATCACGGGTGCCCTTTGCGCTGGCGAAGAAGCTTCTGTTGCATGAACAAGAGGTGGTCCCACCCAGCGGGCTCTGCATGGTCTTCAGCATGTGTGTCCGTGTTTTTCACCCTGAATGAACAGCGCCTGTGCAGGTCAGTTCTGCCCCAGGTACCGTCACATCAGGGCACATATGATGGACTTGAACCTGTTCCGCCAACCCTGCTGGTAGGACTTCAAACTTTGCCTGGAGAAGTTACCATGAGGAGCTGCTGCCCTGAGGAGAGAAGAGAAGTTGCCGAGTTTGGAAGCCTGGAGACGGCCTTTCTTCAGAAGAGCTGCTGACGGAGGGAAGAGGAAAACTGGGGAGGGCCTGAAGGTTCCTTTCTGGTCACAGCTTGACCTTCAGCACCATCCTTCATTTCATCTGGGCTCCTGCAGACCCTATGAACCCTGCGATTGTCCCAAGCCCCTTCCCTAATATTCCAGCTTTCATTTTAAAAATGCATCAATCTCCAGTCCTTTTTCTTTATAAGAATATAAGGAAAAGCATGCAGACTATACTCTACTTATTTTCTCACTAAGAAGCAAATTTGTTCCCCCTTTTCAGTGTTCTGGCAAAGGCACAGGGCAACCCACATGAACTCGGTCCTTCCGTTAAATGTCTATGAAGGACTTCCTATTAATAAAGGTAAAGGTTTCCCCTTGACGTGAAGTCCAGTCATGCCTGACTCTTGGGGGCGGTGCTCATCTCCGTTTCCTGGCCAAGGGAGCCAGCGTTTGTCCGCAGACAGTCTCCGTGGTCATGTGGCCGGCATGACTAAACACCGAAGTGCACGGAACGCTGTTACCTGCCCACCAAAGTGGTGCCTTTTTATCTACCTGCATTTGCATGCTTTCAAACTGCAAGGTTGGCAGGAGCTGGGACAAAGCACGGGAGGTACCCCATCATGGAGATTCGAACTGTCAGCCTTTTGATCAACCAGCCCAGCAGTTCAGCAGTTCAAACTACTGCACCACCCGCAGTCCTATTCCTATTAATAGTTTGACTGTTAATTATGTATGGTACGTTCATACTGCTCCTCAGCCTAATTCTCAGGTGGCTTAC